GGTGAAACCCCGTCTCTACTAAAAATACAAAAATTAGTGGGGCGTGGCAGTACACATCTGTAATCCCAGCTACTGGGGAGGCTAACTCATGAGAGGCCATCCCAAGAGAATAAGGCAGTTAGAGGGGAATCTTCCTAGAGCCTCTTTTGTGACTGTTGAGCCTACTTCGGGAACGTATTACTTCTTTTGAAGTTTCCCTCTGGGAGGAGCCAAGATAATCTTACAGGCAAAAAGAGGCTTCAGGTGACACACAGACATTACACAACCCCCTGCCCAGCCCTCACCTTCAGCGAACCCCTGCCTTCTAGCATCACTCGCCTCAGGTGTTGGAGCAGAGGCCGGCCTGCAGTTCTAGGGTCTCCTGGGCATGCCTGCCTGTTACTGGCACAGCAATCTTTGTGTGTGGCCCAAGGATCTTCTATACCCATGGCTGGGGCAGCAGGGCAGAAAACAGCCTCCGCTTTTGAGAGAGATTTTAGCACTGCATGTCCTCAGACCCCGTTGCCTCAAGGGACATCTCACTTCAGTTCTTTTCAGAAAGGCCCACTGGGCTGGGTGCAGTGACTGGCCTGTAATCCCGATACTTTGGGAGGCTGAGGTAGGAAGATCACTTGAGCCCAGGTATTCAAAACCAGACTGGACATGAGACCCCTGTCTCTACAAAAAAATTTTAAAATTAGTCAGGTGTGGTGGCTTGCACCTGTAGTCTCAGCTGCTTAGGAGGCTGAAGCAGGAGAATCCCTTGACCCCGGGAGGTTGAGGCTGCAGTGAGCCATGATCGTGCATCTGCACTCCAGCCTAGGCAACAGAATGAGACCCAGTCTCAGGAAAAAAGAAAGGCTAACTGGCATCTGAAACTTTTTGTGAGATTCAATGTCCCTCTGCTGCTAAGATAAAAATAAGAAAGTATTACATATACGAAATAAAATAATTTCACATTTCTTAAAATATTCCTGTAGGCAGCTTGGCCAGGTTACTTTGTATGCATCCAACCACGGATGGCACTGGAATGCCTTCCACCTGTGCTGGGAGTGGGGCAGGTCCCCAGGTGGCAGGCTGCATGCCACACAAGTCAGGACAACAGCGGGGACTGAGCTTCGCTCCAACTTTTGGTCTAGAGAGACCACCCCAAAGTCTGGACATTTGGAAAATATTTGAAATCTAGGAGGCACCCAATGTGAGGAGCAAACCCACCCGTCCAAACCCAAAGAATGGACTCAGAGACCCGGACAACAGTGAAAGAGGCTTTTAAGAAGATCGCGTGTCTAATGAGCACGCACACCCGGCACAGTTTCAACAGGCAGTGTATCCCCTAGTGTGCAGGCTCCTCCTTCCTTACAGGCTGAGTACCATGGGGTCACAATCTTCCCAGACGGTGCTTACTGGTTGTTAGCCGGGGGCTTTAGGCGTTTTCTTTAGGACTGTCTTGCTGCATTTTGTTACAGCCTACAGTGCATTGCAATCTTAGTCCACTTAGGAGCTCTTCAAGTATTTGACTTATGACCTAAGTAGCTAGGCTGGCTGGTAGGAACAGACAAAGTAAGCTATTTTGCAGGCCAGTAAACTTTCCTTTTAGACTCAACTTTTTTGGTTCGGGTGAGGGCAACTAAGAAAGTGGGGAGGGGGCAGAAGGGGGAGCCGACAAGAAGGCATCGGCTAGCCTGAAGGGCCTAGCACATCCCGTTTCTTCCGTAGTTTGCTGACCTAAGCCAATTCAAGGCACTTTGTCTTAAAAATGAACCACTGTATACCTTATTTCCTTCACCCAAGTAACAGCTTAAAGTTTTACTTTGAGTCACCTGTTCTTTGACCAACAGTTTCTAAATAGCTGTATACTGCCCCCGAAAAAAGTTGTATTTAACAAGGAGCAGCCCCTATTTGAATGATTTAGCAGCAAGCTAAGGCAAAGACACACAGTGCTCACATCCCAGAATAAGAACACATTTATTCAGATGAGCCAGAAGTCCAGGGTCACGCAGCTTCCCCTGCAGGAGATGCTTTACACACTCTCCCATTTTCTTTCCAGAACATACACTGTGGGAATTCACAAACTAAAACAAATTTCTGGTGACTTCCCATCTGTACATTATGCTTTACAGCTTCAATTGAATTTTTTTAAAACTTAACTTCCAAGCTGGCCTGCCTAACACTGTGAGTCAAAAGTAACCCTAAAAAGCAAAAACACACAGCACTGAAGGGTCTCTGGGTGGTCATGTCAGCGTGGGCTGGGGAGGTGAGACCAAGCACATGGCCAGCAGACCGCAGGACGGGCCCTGGGGCTCATCATACAGAAATATGACAAGAGAGTGAAGTCACAACTTCAGATGTCATTGGAGCCATCTATATATGACACACACATTATAAACAAATAACCTGGAACATTTCACAACATATGACACCTGTTCTACCTGGGAATGCAAACCCTGAGCTGAAAATAAGAACACAGATGTGGGAGACACCACAGCCTGAAGCTGCTCTCCTCTTCCCTCCTCTCCTCTCCTCTTCCCTCCTCTCCTCTCCCCTCCTCTCCTCTCCCCTCCTCTCCCCTCCTCTCCTCTCCTCTCCCCTCCTCTCCTCTCCTGCAGTCCCGTGATGGGTTACGCTGAGCCAGCAATGTGCACGCACTAACTCCACAGGTGTTAAAGGTAAGGTCACTTCCAAACACACAACAGAATTACCTTAAACATTAGGACGTTAAAAGTTAAAACCCCAGCCAGGCGTGGTGGCTCACACCTGTAATCCCAGCACTTTGGGAGGCTGAGGTGAGTGGATCACTTGAGGTCAGGAGTTCGAGAACAGCCTGATCAACATGGTGAAATCCTGTCTCTACTAAAAATAGCAAAAAAAAATAATAATTAGCCAGATGTTGTCGCGGGCGCCTGTAATACCAGCTACTCGGGAGGCTGAGGCAGGAGAATCGCTTGAACCCAGGAGGCAGAGGTTGCAGTGAGCTGAGGGTGCGCCACTGCACTCCAGCCTGGGCCACAGAGTGAGCCTCCATCTCACAGAAAAGAAACAGCTGCTGGCCATCAGTCCTGACAGACCACGGCACTTACTACCCACGGACAGGCTGCTTCAGAGCTTGGCACTGGCGTGCACACTGGTTTTAAAGAGGAACTATGCAAGGAAGCAAGGGAACAGCCAGCCTTTGGTGGCAATGGCGCTCACGGGGTTGCCCCAAAGGCTGCTTCTGCCACCCACACCGCACACTCACATCTTCCCTTCCTCCTGACTTCCATTTCCTCTTCCCGCTCTGAGGATCGAGCCCTGACAGGGACAGACTGTGAGGGACAAGGAGACTGTTGGCCCCAACCAACCCCAGTCGTGCCACACGGAGAGAGGGAAGAACTCTCAGGGAGATGCCGAAAGGGGCCACGTCAGCCAAAGCAGAAGGGGCTTTTCTAGAATCAGGGAAGGGAAGGGGACCAACCCGGAAAAGGCACTGTGCCTTTCCTGTGCTGTGGCAGAAGCTTCGATTCCAAACCGAGATACGGACCACACTCCTGAAAGCACCCATGGCAGGTCGTGACTGAAGTTATTTTGGCAAAGGGCCAAAGAAAAGGTCTGGCCCAAAGTAACTGACCTGAAGTAACAGAAATTTCCCCTTCCTGACCTTCTTTCGTTCAACTTAGTATTCTGATAGATGAGAATCTGGTGTAACGCGAGGCCTCCCTCCCTCAGAAGGCACAGCAGCCCGCAGGGAGGGCTCAGCCCCATTCTTGGTTAGGTTTGGTTTCGCCTGGAGGTGCGGCAAGTTCTGTGCCATGAAAGCGATTTCCCTCCAGCTCTGGAGACAGGCGGGGCACAGCTTCAGTGACTTTTCTTTTTTTGCGGGAAAAAGGTGTACTTTGTAGGGTTAAACTCTTCCCAGATGCGCTCAAATTCTTCCAGAAAAAGCCGCACGTACTCGTCGTCCTCCATGATGAGAACGTTCTCCCTGTTGTTCTGGATGGCTTGCGTGGTCCAGTTGAGCGAGCCAGTGATAAGCACCCGCTTGTCCACGATGGCAAACTTGTGATGCATGTAGCCCAGGTCCTGATCGTGCCGGACCTGGATCCCTGCAGAAAGGACAAGGTGGTGATTTCATTCCACGCAGGAGTCCCGCCTCCAGTGTGGACTGTTCCTGGGGGCTACTGGCTTTATGCTTCCAGTTTGGTGGGCCAGGAAAGCCCGCCACGCTTTCACAGAGTGGTGGCGGCTAAGCTCCCAGGAGGGACACTTGAGAACCACAGAGGGGACATCACACACGGGGCCAGAGCACCACACACAGGCCGTGGGGGACTGGGCGGGCCGTGGTCTGGGTGAGACCACACCTCCGAGTCTATGGCAGCCAGTATACTGCTTGCGGTCGAAGCTGTCACTAACCCGGTCAGAGGTGACCAGGGCAAAGACAGAGTGTGAGCCTTCAGGTTCTGACTCCTCCACAGCTAAGGCTGAGAGCCGTGCCCCCTCTGCTCAGAGAGGCCCCGGTGTCTGGCAGCAGAGCCCAATTTGCTGGCACAACCTCGGCCACCAAGGCAGGAAGGGCCCTACCTAACAACGCACAAATGAATTCTCTTCTGCACCCCCGTTTCCTTCACCGAAGAACCAGGCATCCCCGCCTCTGCTCTTCCCAGCTTTCAAACTCCTCCTGGGAAGGGCGTGTGTCTGTCTCCCCTGGAATCACTCACGACCTGCCTCACTCATGACCTGCTCAAGGAATGAGGCCGTCAGAAATGGGGGTTAGAAGAAGTTTTAAACAGGCTGCCATGGAACACAGCTGCCAGATTTTCCAAATCAAAATACAGGACATCCAAGTTAAATGGAATTTCAGATAGAGAGTCATCTTTGAAGGGAAGCGTGTCCCACGGAGTACTGGGAACATAACTTAAAAATCACTCCCTGTGCATGGAACTCACGTTTAATTGTGCCTCCTGAATTGGGCCTGGCAGGATGGGGACGCGGTGGCTTCCTTACCTCGGGGATCCAACCCTTCTTACACTCTGGCCACTCCGCCGGCACGTCCTGTCGGCATGGCCCTCCAAACACATTCCTCCACATGGTGGGCAATCTAAAACCCCACCATTGCCGACACCTCCTGCCTCCGCTGGGATCCACTGCCCACCCGTCCCCTCCCCGCAGCCCACCACCTCTGGCCACAGAGGACTCCCTGCCGTTCCTCACAAGGAAGTCAGTATGTGACCCAGGGCGTCTATGCTGCTACCCCTTCCAGCTGCATGCCTCTCCCTCCGGACAGCCCACGCGTGTCCGCAAGGCCCCTGCCCTGAGTGTCACTGCCCCTGGGCAGCTGACCTGGCCCACGCCACATCCTCCCACACCACTGCCTCCTTACCCTGCTTTACGAAATTTTCTTGGCCCTTCTTAGTGCCCTAAATGAAATATTCGTGACTTAGTTAGCATCTCCATGGGAATCTGGCCTTGTGCCCTAGGATGTTCCAGCTCCTCACAAATACTAGCACGCAGGGGACATTCCTTGAACAGATGAATGCCACCGGACAGCCTCGAAGTCAGCGAGGATGCTGGGAGGCCATCCCAGAGGGAATCCGATGGGACCTTGGTCTAGGGGCCCTTGAAGGGTCTTCACCAATCTCAGCTTCTACGACTCGAAAAGCAACTCAAACTCCAGCACGCCTGGAGGTCCCCAAACCTCCCGTTAAAATCACCAACGCGGCCGGGCGCGGTGGCTCACGCCTGTAATCCCAGAAATTTGGGAGGCCGAGGCGGGCGGATCACGAGGTCAGGAGATCGAGACCATCCTGGCTAACACGGTGAAACCCCGTCTCTACTAAAAAT